TCATAGTAGAGCGGGGAAATGTGCACATAGTCGAGCACATGCAGTGATGACAGTAAGGTATTCCAATCTCACAGCGTCGCGATATGTTATACTCAGCGACCGAACCAGGCGCAAACACTAATGTAGTAGATATGTGACTAGCATGATGTGAGCAGAACATATCTATCAACACAGTCAAGTACGTCGAGACGGTCCACAGGTTGGTCTCAATGCAATCAAAAAAATTTTCTCTACTCGACCGTCGGATGGAACGGACGAAGTCCGACACCGCGGCCATAGAATCGGTCCACGTCTGACTGTGAACATGATATTCATGACTCGTCGTATCGCGGTCAAGGGTCATACGGTTGATCGTGATATACAGAGAATGCAGAAGTGCGGTAGGTTGACAACAGTGCCGAAAGGCGAGATAGTCGTACAATGGGGCAAGTCACTAACCGTCAATGGAGGGCATCGGAGTAAATCCCCCCAAGAGAGATAATATCGCCTATTTGATAGTGGCAATATGTTTCTTCTGACATCATCACGAACCGTGAGCCCAACGGAGAAGAGAGCTGCATCCCTGTTCACATATTAGAATGAACCCCATGTCTATCTAGGAAAATAGGGAGAAATTTACCGTACCAGACAAAAACGTCTTGACTCAAGACGAACTTAGGGTCAAGCATCTCTTCCACAGAAATGCTCTCTGGAAAACATTCAAGTTTCGGTGAAAGCAGCTGAAAGGTCGAGCAGTAGCATCAACACCTTGTAGACCAGCGACGGGCCACATGTTTTGATGCGTTCTCACGATGCTATCGACACGTGACGTTGAGAAGTACTGCGATAATAAGACGGTGGAGATGATCCAGTGGGGTTAATCTATAATGCTCGTGCCCAGCAAAAGCTGTGGATGAATTTGGCCTCCTAACTATCCGGGCTGAGACCTGGGTTTGAAGCCAACACAGTATAATATGACGAGGCGGATCATGACTATAATAATGCAAAGAGAAATATAACACGAACAACATGCAACGCATAATGCCTCCGCCTCCCTCGATGGCTATCGCTCTCACTCCCACCGACAAGACTGATCAGCATACCGCTCCAAGCGCGATGAAGCAATGGAGTTTCGCCCGTTTCACGCGGAGTGGCGTAAAACTCGGTGAAAACCCGATGTTCGCTGAATGCTGAATGCAGTAGTCGTGAAGTATGTTTTTCATATCACGGGTGAAACTCCAGTGATTGGGGCGGCACCCTTCTGTCACGGATAAGACAATAATGGAATGATATACCACAATGGCACTTAAGAGCGGAAGTCCGCAACTCTTTGCGGCCTTGGCAGATATCATGATCGCCCTCTTTGAAGACCCGCTCGTTTGCTCGTTTGCAGTTTTGCAAAAACATGTTCGCTTTCCTCAGCTGAGCTCAATACTTTCCTCCCTGATCATAGGAGTCTTAATACGAATTGGAGTAATATACCAGAAGTGTACAGAACTAACAACAATTTCCCAAAATTTCCTCTGAGTTTTGATATTGTCGTCAACACATGCGGTTGACTATGTGCAAATCTTACCACACTGGTAGATAGTCACCTACAGTAGACGGCACATCAAGGAGTTCCAGCCGGCTCCCTGCTGAGGCACGGCATCAACCGCAGCGGTGTTAACACGTCGGCGACGATAGGGCTTCAGCGAAATGGAGAGACCTCCTATCTAGATGCCGACAGTTCCACGCTGAGGTGAATAGTAATACTTCTGCAGAAGGGACGTCACAGCATTTGCCGGATTGAGTGTAATGAACGCATATCGACTACAAGCTTGATCGCTAGTACAGTGAAGCACTTGTACGTCAGGTGGCAGGTATGGAGCTAACCCTGCCCCATCTTACTCGGGAGACCACCAAGAAAGAATTTGCAGAAATTCAACTCGAGATCACCCGCCGACCCTGTTGACTCATTCTCTTGTTGTCCTCTGTGTTTACGCTGAATCTGTGATTGCAATCCTGCTGACGCTCAACCCACTTTACTCGCCAGAGCGGACATATTAGAAGCACGACGCACGCGACCTCTCTTGCTGGGGTAGGCGTCCTGAACTGTGTCCAGACCAATTTCGTCACCCAGGGAGTTGAATGTCAGAGGACGGAAGAATGGTAGTGAATCGTGATTCGCCGAGTGCTGCGCATGCCTAGCGTTCTGCGCGTATCGTTGAGTACGAGCCCAACTGGTCTGACAAATCCTCCCAGAACTGTTAAGACCGTGCTAAAGTTCTTAGCTGTCGCATAGGGCTCGAAATTGATGAAGACATACCCGATACAGGACAAATATTCGAAGTTCGCCAGCAAGTAGACAAAATCGTAGCGAGTTCCTGTCTGGAAACCATTTTCAAGAAGAACTTCGCAGAAGCTCTTGCTATAGTCGGACTGAGGATATTGCGGAACGTAACGGTGGTGAAATGGTCTGTTGAAGAGCAAGGCAGATTCTCATCCTCCAAGTCACTGCCGGAGTGGCGGCATGGACATCAGGGCTACCACACGGCAGGTTAGCCTCGGGCGAGGGACCAGGTCCTGGAGAGGAAAGAGCCTCCGATACGCTTCCGTTACTGCGCTTGCCACAACTGAACCCGGATGGAGAACTGCTACAGTTTCGTCTAGCAGCAGACTCGGGCGTAGGTCAGCTGCTGCGACGGCCTTCCATGTCAACGTGATCATCAAGCTCGAAGAACTTGGGAAACGTATTGACGTAACGTACGAGAACGCCCTGATTTCGAGGGGGGGGCTCCAGCAGCCGTAGAGAAGTGTTGTTGACGATATATTCTGGGGTCCAATACAACAGCGAGTCGCCAACTAAAAAAACCACACATTCATCATGCTGCATTCAAGCACTATAACTCAGAACTACTAGCTCAGTGTTGATGACAACGAGGCTCCA